AGAGAGACGGCCGAATCCGATTACAAGCCGGTCCATCACTGTGTCGTGTGCATTCATGCGAAGCCGGAATTGGCCGGCATCTGATGGGGTTCAGCCATCATATTGGCACGTCGTACTACCAGTCGGGCGTTTGGTGGTGCATGGGTATGGTGTAACCGGACCTCCGATGGTTATCCCTTGTCCAGTGGCGGGAAAAAAACCTTACAAGGACGCCATATCTCGCGGTCACCAATAAACTAGAAGCAGCTGCTTAGTCGTAGGTGTGAGGCATGAAGAGGCTGCCACATCGGTGGTGCAAGGCATACAGCTACAGGGGAAATATATCGAGAATATGGACGTATGTACCGATTTCTAGACTCTAAGTGACCGGTATGTACCGCAAAAAAAAAAAAAAAAAGTGTAAAATAAATTCGTATGGTGCGCCCCATAAATTGCTAACCGGCGAAAACAACTCTGTGCTCAAGCGATTTTCATGCAGACGGCTTGTTACAATTTTCGGGCTCCAAGCGCTGTCAAACTGCCTCTAACAATTTTCTGCTGGCAATAACATTTCTTTCGGCAGCCCCTCCTTCGGATACCGTCATAGTGCGTTTCGTCCCAAAGACGGCTTGTCGAATAACTTGCGAGCATGTCAAATATGTGGACGCTGGAATGTCTTCTTGACTTCTATTTTTGTATATCTTGCTTCAAGAGGTTGAGGATATTATTTGCACAGCTAAGTATAAGTATACCGTCTTCAATATTCCTCTCCAGGACTAACATTCATAAAACATTTCGTCGCAAACACTTTTTTATTCAATTGCATTTTAAGTGCAGCTTTTGAACCTTACGAAGTGAAGTTTTAGCGACTATTGAAAGATTAGGCTAGCCAGAATCCTTGGTTATAAGCGACGTTTCACCATGAATGTCTATCAGGTTTCCCGCATTATTTTCGTTTTATTCAAGATACTCTCCTCGGGCGAACGTAGCTAATGAGGCCCGCTGTTAACTTCAGCTGCTTTACCTATTTAGTTTGTTTTATAAAAATGTTTGTTTTCTGGATTTTTAGGCTTTCTGAGCATCATGCTTTCCACTATAACTACCTACTAGCTCACCCGTCTTATCTTCTTTTTTTTTTTTTAACATCGCCGTACGGTGAGGTTTTGCTTGGGAAACTGATACCCCTATTGCTACGGCTTCGGAAAGTCAGTCAATATAGCAAACTTAACGGCAATCTAAGAAACTGAAAAATATTTCAAATGTATTACAGGGCCTCAGCATTATTTTCTGATTCGGAAACCATGTGGTCGATAAACTAAAAAGGATCATACGAAAATTAAAAATTTGTTTTAATAGTTCGACGAATTTTTATGTGGAAAAAGTGTCCATTGACAAAATGTCTTAATTGACGAATTGCCTGTAACTAATTGACCTGCAACAAATTGTCTTTGGACGAATACCCAGGATCACTTTAGACGGAACGGCTTGCCGTTCTGTTCTGCGGTGAATGTTTCTGTTGTCTCGAGGCCGCCCTACGCCTTCCATAAGCGGCCAAACACTCTTGAAAAAATCTGACCATGTTTTAGTAGCACGAGAAGTTTGCGCTAGTGGAGACCAATCAAGTGGTGTTTGAAGCTTGAAACTCTATTCAGAGACCTTTTTACACCATAGAAAAAGCTCAGAGAAACTCCACCGGCGGCGGATAGGCTGCTCCTTGAATTTGTCTTTTTGAATAAAGGTTGCTTCTTGAATTTAGATGAACATTTAGTCGGTGACTTGTTTACGAGGCGCGTCTACGGAGCCTGAGCTCCACTGACTGGAAGGCTTGTGTGGATGACTTGGACAGCGTAACTTGTGTATGTCATTTAGAGGGTCACCATGTCTTTCCGCAGTATATTCCCCGCCGGTGCAGCATAACTGCTATCTGGCACAACGCTATACGGAGAACAAGGATCAGCGTGCGCTCGTGTAATCACTACTGCGTGGTGCCCGGTGAAGCCACCACGCTATACTCCATTTCATCTAAGAATGGACTGCAGCCGACGCTAGAAGCCATCCCAGTCAATCCGGCGCCGCGAGAGCGTCATGGTACACCCCGCTCGGCGCGTCGCCGCGCCGAACCGGGACGTCACGTGACACACCGTCAACTCAGGACCGATTGCGCTGGTTCGTAGCGTCCGCTACGGTCGATCTTAAGTTGAAAGAGAGTACAGCTGTCGTACAGCGCCGGCCAAGTTGCTAATTCCGGGTTATAGATATATCGCCCCTTCAATGGCTGACAAGCCCATAATGCTGTCTCAATACCTACAAACACCACTAAGATTGGGGTTAACCGCGTACGGTTTATCATCTTCATTTTTTTGCCTTAATCTGTCTTGGATAATGACGAACTCCAAGTGGGGGATCTCGTATCTGGTTGACCAACGATGCCTCAACTCCTAACACTCAGGACCGTCGTAGTTTTGCGGCTCTCAATGAGTTAGCGCACAAGAGAAACCTATTCCTTATAAGTTATATGTACATGACCAACAAGGTGACCTATAGCACATATTTTCAGCACGCGTGAAGGCGACGTCATCGCGGTTTAGAAACGCGCGATGGGCGTCATCTTTCATGGCCGTGGTGGGGCCTTTTCCTCTAACAAATAGACGAATCGATCAAACAATTGCCGATTGCAAAATATACACGTACTCTGTCGATCTTCATGTGCGATAACTTTGTTTCATGATAACTTGGTGACCTGTGGAAGCTACGGCCCCGCGACTCAATAACAGTGCCGGAGTGAGGCACGTGAAAACACGTCACGGGAGCGTTTGTGTCACTGCGCCAAATGCGAGGCCTGGAGGAAAACGTTTTCGTCTGCTTCGAAACCAACCAACTTCGGATGAACGTCCACCGCCGCAGCATTGCCGTCCGCTAGAGTAGCGAGCTCCACGAGGACAGTTCATGACACAGCCATACCCTCAATTTACCCGCAAATCTGAGGCAGGTGCTAATGCCAGGACGATGTTTTGAGCGGAAGTGATCGATTACAGGGCTGAGATCGTTCAAACATCGTTGAAACATCGTTCAAAACCCGCGTTGTTACCGGTAAAGGCTTGATCGGAATTAAGTATCGTTGAAAACTGACATGCCTTCGTCTTTCTTTCATGTCATGTAGCGTAGTGTCGATAGAGATGCAATCGCGCGATATCAATTGCCGTTAAAATGAAAAGATGCACAGAACAACTTTTTGTCGCGGACGGCGCTGTTGCTGCGGCGGAAACGAGGCCCCCGTGGCCTCTACCATGGAGTGCTGTCACGTACTTTGCTCCAACGCCCTTATTGGCTCGCGGGGGCCGCAACCTCCACAGCTCGCCAAGTTATCGAAAAACGGCCCCCGAAGTACTGATCACAGACCGAGGATCATCGTTCATGGCACAACTGACCCAAGAAATCCTCCGACTCAGTCATACCAGCCATCGTCGTACAACTGCGTACACCCGCAGACCAACGGGCTGACGGAGCGACTCAACAAGACAATCGCCGATATGATCTCTATGTACGTCGACGTAGAGCACAAGACGTGGGACGAGGTGCTGCCCTACGTCACGTTCGCCTACAATACGGCGGTTCAAGAGACCACTGGATTCACCCCTTTCCAGCTGGTACATGGTCGGAAGGTAACGACCATGCTGGACGCCATGCTGCCCCATGAGCCATCTGACAACGAGAGCGACGACGCCCAGGCGGTTGCTCAACGCGCCGAAGAAGTTCGCCAGCTCGCCCGACTCCTGATTCAAGACCAGCAACGCGTCGACGCCGGCCGCTACAACCTTCGTCGCAGGGACGTCCACTTCCAGCCCGGAGATAGGGTGTGGGTATGGACGCCCATCCGTCGCCGCGGCCTCAGTGAGAAATTGCTGAAGCGCTACTTTGGGCCCTACAAGATCATCCGACGCCTCGGCGATCTGAATTACGAAGTTCTACCCGACGGAACGCGCCCATCTGCAAGACGTCAGCCGCGACCCGAGGTGGTGCATGTCGTCCGGCTGAAGCCGTATTACGAACGATAGGACTTTCCACTCTCGTCGACGAGTGAACTGTGGACTGTGAACTCCGGCTAGCAATTCTGCTGTCCTTTTGTTTTTTTGTTTTCCGTTTTTGTGCTGCATCGGGACGATGCACTTTTAAAGGGGGGGATAATGCCGCGCGCAGGGCTGAGAAAGCAACGCTCGGTCACGGACCCCCAGAAAGTTCTCGTCTATTCATGTACCGCACGTAACTTCTATCATTCATTTCTGCTTTTGTTTTCTAGAAAGTGCGTGTTCATTCTCGCCCCGATCACGCGACGCTCGAGCCGCTTTCGCCGAATCTTCGAGATAGTGACACACTCTAGATAAGAGGCCGCCCGCAACCTTGTCGAGTCAGTTTCGCTTCAGCGTTCGACTCTGCTGCCACGCCGACTTCGACGCCCGCGACGCTCTATTATTATCTTTTGTACTCTTTTATGTTTGGCACAAGTTCGCCACATTAAACGTTTATTTCTTCCTGTTTATTTGTTATTTTTGGTCACCACCCGTGACAGTATAAATGAGGTCAGTGCAGAACACAGTCGTCTATGCCGCGGCAAACACGGATTGTAACAATACGTATGCAGGAAACGACGAACTCTAAACAGCTTAACAGTGAAAACGTCGCTGAGCGCGTGAACAGTCTAATTCTTATGGTATCTTGGTATCTTTCTTTCAGTTGTTTGGAGCTAAAAAAAGGTGTCCAACGTTGGTGCACCATGGATCAGTGACGCACAGGCAGAGAGAGCATAGTTTTACATAAAAAATCTGAATTCAATCATTTTAGTTTTTTCGGCAACATATAATTAATTACTTGCAATTGAACACAGAAAAATAGTACTTGAATTACAGCGAATGTTACCGCAGAAAAAGTAATTGAAACAAAAAAAAAAAAAGATTACAACAAATTATAATGAATTACAAGAAATCAGGTACTTGTAACTCTTTACGTACATGTCTGGTTTATACCGACGTTCGTATTCTTCGTGTCGACTGCAATTATCGTAACTGGCTCTCGGTCCTTCGACAACCAAGGTGTGTAATCAAGTCTGAAGAGGCGATTGTACACATCAATCCATCCCTGAAAAAAAAGTGCGGGACTGTAATATTCTTCCAAATAAGTGTATTAAGACGGTCCTTCAATTGTCTGGAATATTCTCGCCACGCTATGGGAGTCTTGCTAGAGACAAATAGAAGCACCAGAGGCGCGCCGCTGAAATTAGGAGGCAACCAACGAGATCGCTCTGAAAACCTAATAGAGGGACGTTGGTTCGGAGAATTTACTATACTTCGTTTCAGCTTAGGTCCGAGCGCGGCCGATGTTATGAGCCGAAGGGCCAATCAAACAGCGAAAGGGGCACACCATCATGGCGTGCTCTCTGCAGTTGATAGGACCAGCCGGTATTTGCCGTCTCTCTGTGCATGCTCCTCCACCGGCTAGTCCTATCAAGCGCAAAAAGCACACCAGATGTTGCGCTTTTTACGCTGTTTGATCATAGTTAACATCGGCCGCGCTCGGACGTAGGGTGAAACGTAGTATATTCAGAAAGTCACTGCATGCGCCTATTCTTCAAAAAAAAAGCTTCGCAGACTTGTCGAAAAAATGGGTGATTGGTTACGCCATCGCTACTTGGGACGGGGGGTTCATGTCGTTTTGGGTTAACTGAACCAGGAGGTGAGCAGTGCTGCATCTATTTAAGGTATATGCTGTATTATTTTTTTTTTACTTTCAATGTCTTTTCATTTTTTGTAATCCTATTTGCAGCAGCACCACTCCTAGTGCCAAAATTTACTAGGTGGAAGCAGCCGTCATTTTCTGACCAAGAATTGTTTTATCAATAAACGGTAAAGTAAGTTATTCCTAGAGTATACTTACAGCCAAATATGAATATTATCTAAAAACTAGTGAGTGTGATCTAATTGTTTACTCCTGAAACCAAACCTAATATTTGTCTTGAAAGCCTTCGTGAACAAATTAATTAAGCTCATTTCTAAAATTTCAAACCTTAAAAAAAAAAAAAAAGATGTATTACTTCAATTGACAGCACGCACTCACGACGACCTCACACCACTAGGCCATTTTGAACGGTCATAAGAACGTGCAGATATACATGTTGGTTACTAGGTCAACATAATTTCTGTGTTTTAAGCTTATTTAAGTTTTTAGCCGCAAATGGCATAATAATTAAATAATTAAACTAAGATGTAATATGCGGGCCTCGCTAATTGTCTCTGGTCTAAACACATGCTAAGGGCATGTAACGATGGTCCCGTGTTTCGTCAGTGACACTCTCTCGTTGGCATATCGCTGGTATATATAAATTACTATATCCTTCTCGACGCCAAGAGAGAGGGAGAAAAACAACTTCATTGGAACACCAAAATAGGAAGTCGCAGGATAAGCGTTCACCTACAGCGGCTTCCTAAAACAATTTGTCTTTCTAAAAAAGAGGGACCGGCCGTAGCCGCAGTCGCCGACGCCGTCTTGTCTTCCTTCGGCTTGCGATTCTTCGAGAGACTTCGATTGTTGGAAGCACTTCGGCCTCTGCCCTCCACGGGAGGGAAAGAGACCGAGTGGCTGCGTGCTCGGGAACCTCAATCGCAGTTCGCCATAAATGTCTCGCGAGCGTGACCTGCGGGACCGCCGTCGTTGCTTCTCAGGTTTAGTAAGGAACGTTGTTGGGCTAGTTGGTTCATCTTAGTAAAACATATAAAATAGCGCAACAGAAACAAGGACAAGAAGTAAACAGGACAGGCGCCGGTCCGCGGCCCTCACGGCGGCGAACATACCGATGTGAACATTCTTTGGAAGCCGTGATGTGCCTGCCCCCGCAGATAGCGAACAGGGGCTGGCACTCGCAGTGCGAGCCATCTTCGTTTTGCGACGGGTGGTGGGTTCCGCAGCGATGTCACCTGCTCTGGGGTATCATGGGACACACGTCGGCATGATGACCCGTTCGTCTATATTGACGCACTCCTCGATTCTGTCTCTGTACGGGAAACAGGAGAGAGTGAACTCGCAGAAGTAGAAGCATGTTGGGATCCTCTTGCTTTGTAGGGTGTTGGGACCGAGTGGTGTCCGTGGATGTGGAGGTGCGACTCGAGCCAGGCACCGGGATAGAACTCAGCGGGAACAACGATGAGCCGCGGTCTCTCTCGAAAAGTACACTGTTTAGTTACATGATATACAGTTGGTTCAAGAACAGAGAAGACTTTGCTTGTCGAAGTCCGCTAATTTTAAACACTTCGTTCTCCCTAGGTCCTTAGGTAGGGATCCCCACATCGGCGGATGGTCGGCCAATCACAGAAAGCTGTCCCGTTCAAACACCGGCCCACATTCCATTATTACGCACACTCAGCCGCCGTAAACACTTCACTGCCCGTCTATACGGCGCCGAGAGTCTTACCAAAACACCGGCTGGTCGGAATTCACGCAGCTGGTCAAAACATTGTCCGGGGCCGAGACGTGACGTGCCGACTTTCGACCCTTCGTGTCTACGCGTTGAATGAAGGCGTCCGGATGATCTCATGGCCCCGGATTGTGCCTTGGTGTTTCGGTCGTGAAACGTTTGCCGTTGTTCACGTCGCTCGAATGTTATATTACGGCGCCCGTCTGGTGCGTTCGCTGGGCAGGCGTGCTTCCGAAGCTACGATGGCGCCAAGCTCGCTGAGTCAGACGACCTTAACCCGCGAAAGGAGCTCGACGAAAACAAACGGCCAGGTGCAGACATTGCAGAAAATGGTCCGGGGGGGCGGGGGGGGGGGGGGGGGGGGGGGGAGGGGGGGTGCATTTATAACGGCGTTTAACCCCGCCACGGGCCATACGCAACAAGTGTAACCAGTAGCGCTCTTGACCTGCCTATGCGTCGAGCTGCGAGTACCTGCCATTGCAGGTACTCGCAGCTGAGCAGGATGTCTTCCGCATCCTCGGTTACATCGAACGAGAGGGCCTTTTGTACGACTATTCGCGTCGAGTCGCTTGGAGTGGCTATGGGAGCAGTGACATCGTGCGTCTTACCACTGATAACCAGAAACCGAATTTGCAGATAGGCTTACTGCCTGTCCTCATCCGGTGTGCTGACCCAGCTGACCGTAATCATGTTACTGCGCGGGTTGATGCGAAACTTGTCGAGGGAGCCGACTTCGCGCGGCGACAGGCTGAGCTTCGAGGCGACTGCTGACAAGACGTCGGCTGCTGAAACTTGTGCAAAGTCGAGTCCCGGGGGTCAGAATGTGAGCAAAGTCGAGTGCCCGGAGTCAGAACGGGAAAAACAACATCTCTTTCACGGTTAGCGTCGCCGACGCCGTCGCTGGCGCTATTTGTGGAAGAGATGTTGTTTTTGACTTCGACAATGAAAAAAAAAGAAAGGGAGGGGGGGGGGGGGGGAGGGGGATGAACCAGGTGGCACGTGTATGACCGGTGCCCTATGTGATGTGGCAGAAAGGTTGGAGCATGGATAAATTGCTGCCTTACGTGTTTACTTTTTTATGTTTTCGGTAATAAAACCTCTAGTTGCGAGGCAGCGCTGTCCCGTCCTGTTTATTCCTTCCTTCTGGTATTTGTCGTTCTGCGTTGTTTTACCTACATTATGCTTAGCCTGCACCAACCAGCCCAGCTTTCAACTTCGCTACAGAAAAAAAGGAGCTCAAATAATCGACGAAAAGTTCAGAAAGGGGTCAAACAGCAGGAGCTCGACGCGGTGCGTCCCCTTCGATCGGCCGCTTGTGGCGCCCCCTCTCGACGCCAAGCCCAGCCACCAAAAGCAGAGACAGAATTTCTATTGTGTCTGTTCAAATTTCTCTTATCTGCACGTCTTACTTGAGTGACATCGTGCTGATGAAGTGCTTGACGAGATTACGCACTTCAATATTGATAGTGTGATGACAGTCCTGCATTTTTTCAGCATGCTTTGCTGAGCAGTAGCTCTGGAGTATTTCCTTACCATTTCCGAAAGCCTTCCTTGTCACTCTATTAGCAACCATGTTTCTAAAATCATGCAAGCACTTTTTTCGGGCACGCCTGTGACGTCAAATTTACATGCTGCACTTCATTGAGTGAATTCGCTTGGAACAAGCGATGAATTTCTTCCGGCGGCGTTCAGTTTGCGCATGACGTCAGAGCACTAGCTTTTGCGCCACAAAACGTGAAATTGCGTCCCAGTTAAGTTCATCGGTTCTTCACTCACGTTCGCTTTAAGAAGTCTAGCGTTCAATCTCTACTTAATTTTCTTGCTGAATCTAGATATCCAAATATGGCATTATAAAACATTTATTGTAAGCGGGGCTCGTGTATTAGGCAAGAGGGACTAAACAAGACATGAAATAATTATAATCATATCGAAATATAAAAAAAAAATTTTGAAAACGATAGTCCGCATAAAACACGATGAGAAACCACTAAACCTGCGATGCACCCAACCATCTATTATTTATAAAATCATCCCCCATCTCAACAAACGCTTTTTTAAAGGCTTTGATATTAGGTCATCACTTGCACTGACCATCATATTCGTCCCGCCGCCTACAATGTGACTTAAAAAATATTAATACGACTAATAGCTCTATGACATGGGCATCTCAAATGGTACTCAGAATTTGGTAAAATTTTATTCCGTCAAGCAGTGAATCAGCTAGCGGTCCCGACTCTTCACATGTAATACGGCATGTGGCTGTTTGCGAATTCTAAATGCAATTTGAAATGCCCTTGTGAGAGAGGTTTCAAAGATTGTGCCAATATTATGATGATTTTAAAAATTATCCTATGTGTACTACTCACTTTAATAACACTGGATGATTTCGTCTTAGAATTCCAGACACGTGCCGAGTACTGAAATACTTTTATGTTAGAATATATGGGTTGCGAAAGCCCTCTTCTAAAGTAGCCCCCAGGGCAGTAAACTCCATCTGGAATCTGTAAATCATGAAATAAAAGAAAGCTATCTAAGCATGTAAAAAACTACACTAATATTGGCATTAACAAAGAATCCTTCATTGTATATGTAAGTAGTTTATAATTTTTTAAATGTGTTTCATATATTGTCAACTCAATACACAAAGTGCTACGCGCACGTTGTTACTTGTGACCACCTATCATTGTAAAATGCCGGAACAAATTATCTGAACCCAGAACAGAAAACAAATATGAAACAAACTCAGGTAAGCTATGACCGCATATACAAAGCAGCAATATGAGATTGAAATACATAGAAATGTACCGTACTGTTTCCAGATATTTAGTAAACCATTGCACGATGTTGAGTTTTCAGTTTTCTGACTTAAATTTCCTTAGGGAGGCAGGAAATATTTAATATATTACGGTATACGAAACTAACGAACGTGATACTGGGGGTAAAACTTTAAAAACAATGTGTACATTTTCTTCAGCTCTTCGACGGGTTGAGACGATGCTCAGTGTATCATGGCATGATGCGAATCGTGAAGTACACCCGGTAACACTCCGTACGTCGGCGAATATTCTGGTTTGCGTTTATGGTCCTTTGGTGCGGCTGTCGAAATCGCCAAATGTTTCAAATATTCACTGCAAAGCACGTGCTATAACATAGAGTTCGTATAATAATCTAGAGGAAAAAACTCTTGCATTGCGGCCACTTCGGAACGGCTGGGCAGTGACGCGGACAACGATGGTCCCGATAGGTCAAGATCACTAGCTGCGCTTTAATATACGAGAAAGAAGCAGGAAGACATCACTTATATCGTTTCAACTTACTGTTTTTCTAGCTTTATTTTGTACTTAGTGAAATACACTGGCGTCGCGCACTCTATAGAAAGAAAATAAGTTGACAAGCACTCGACAACTTTAACTCGTCGCGGCAAAAACGAACACGCCTAGCTCAACTTATCATCTGGTTTCATTTTACGCTCTTCACTCGCTCTTTCTCTCGGAACCGCCGATGTCAGAGCTTACGAGTTGTCGCGTTCTGCTTCCCTCTTTAACACCCTGTCTAAAGAGGAAAGCGAACAGAGGAACCGTCTGTAATGGACATTGGCTGAGCGAGCCAGCAAAAACACGCCTGAGAGCAGTCAGGTGTTCTTTCGCCAGCTTTTTACCAAAGGCAGACAAAATAAGGGGCTGCATATGAAGCAGTCTACTTTGAGTTGTACGCGCTACTGGAAAAATGTAGCTTAGAGAAATTAGTAACGCAGTCATCAACAGGAATTAAATACATATGCCGCTATAGTTCGAATGAGTTCAGTACGTTTCAGTCAAATCCAATCGAATATCGCGCCATGTCCCCCTTTCTGCGTCGTGGCGCAGAACACCAGGGGGCAAAACCGGACGGGAAGGCAGTAGGGAAGGGCACGCGGCAGCCAATCTTGAATGACAGCTTTTTCGCGGCCTGAATTTTCTAATACGCGCGCTACAGAGTTCCAGATCACTTTACACGCGCATTCGAAAAATCAGTCCTCCGGCAATCCGTCACTCTTGATTGGCTGTCGCGTGCCCTTCCTTGCTGCCTTTCCGTCCGCTGGCGTCCCCTGGTATTCTGCGCCACGACGCAGAAAGAGGGGCGCGGCACGATCTTCGATTGTACTTTTAATAGGGAAAATTAGCCGCTCTTGAATCTGATTTCCAATTTATTAAGATGCTAGCGCCCGCAGATTTAGTAATGTCAATATATATACTATATAAGAATCCACTTTAGTGCCCCTTTAAGTGTGCATAAATGCAGCTTTGTTTAACATTTCAGCAGTATATTTTGGGTTACGTGTTATGTCCCAAGTGGCTCTGGATTAAACGCTTTCTGTTTTTTTATGTGTCGATTCTAATCATAGCCTCCTTTATACTGACAAAGCCTGGGAGATCGCCACGAGACGCGGCCGCCGAAAGTGAAAAGGTAGAGCGGCAGACAAGAGTCATGTAACGGGCGCCTCGCTGCGGCGAGACGCCGAAACACATTTGTCCCGAGCGATGGAATGTCGCGCTCGCGCTTCTCGCGTTCCTCGGGCTACCGCTTCTTTTCTCGTCGGGTTCGAGAACCATGTTTCAGGTCCTCGCCGCTGCAAAAGCTGTGCGCTGAATACCAGACTCCCCGAAAAATGCTCTGTGCTACCAGGTTTTAGCGCTCCTAATCTGCGGCCGGGCACTCATGGCTCCGTCATCGAACTGCCAGGCTTTGTGAGTATAGAGGACGCTATGTTCTAACCGAATATCACCACAAACAATACGTTTAGAATATTTTTGTTTAGCTGACCAGTTTTATCGCTATAACATTAAAACCAGTTGTTCGAGTTTATCTGGAATGTATAAATTTTGTTTAAAAATTGTTTTGTGTAAATTACAGTAATTTTTACATAATATATTTCACTCAGCCGTTGATGCTTAGTTTGGTTGAATATTATTTTTATACCTGTGAAATTAATTCGTATTGTCGACTTCTAGCATTTTACGTCTGTTGACACCATACCCAAAATACCTAAAGGGTGCTTTTTTTAGCGCTGACAAAATTTAAAAAAAAAGCCTTGGTGTAGAAAAACAATTTCTTTCGTGACAGCGCAGACCCTTGTGAAGCGCAATACGGGATGGGTACAATCTAATATTTAGAGTTCTCTTAAATGTGTTTTAAAGTTGGAAATAATATTCTTTTAAATAGAGTATCTGATTACTTCATTATTATTTATTATCATTCTTCAAATTAACTTTTGCGAGTTTTCCACAAATCTGAGCTCCGTTTAACTTCCTGAACTATGTTGCTTATGCTTTTGCGACACAGAAAATTAACGCCTACTCTTGGTCAGCACAAAGCTACATTTAGGGACGGGACCACTTACCTCTAGAAGGTTGTTTACAGTCGGCTGACGGATGTAGTTGAAGTTAAATATCCTCGTGGTCATTTCTTCTGTCTTATACGATGAAAAGTCATTTATGTAGTACACCATCCATGGAACTGCAAGTGTTCTATTTCTGGGTATTTTCATGGCCGATCGTAAATCTGGAGCAGACGTGGGCCTCTCTTAAATACACTACTAGAGATACTTATTTCAAATACTTTTACTAGCGATTTGATAGCATAAAAATACATTTGATATGCGAGTCTATCTTAATTACATTTCTCAATATCTTGTGCCTAGTATCTCAAATACCCCCATTTTTGAATACGAAAAATTATTCATCCTTTGAATATCGTCGGGGGATAGAAATCGGCACACTCCAGCAAAAAGCTGAACCGATTATAAATTTAGATTGAAGGATGAGAAAAACAGAACAGGTAACGGTCTAGGATCAAAGATTCAGACATAAGGAGCTATGTGCAGAGTAAAAATGTACACAAAAAAAAAAGAAGAAAAAGAAAGAGAAACCGAGAGACGACACCAGAAGAAAAGTTTTCTATGCTTAACCTTGCTACGGCAAGAATATCAGTTTCTTTCGCCAGTATGGTACTTTTAGGGACACTGTTTGTGGGGGATCGGTGAAATCCAGACACTAACTTTTATCAAAACAAATTGTACCAATAAGGTAAAAAAATAAAAAAACTTCGAACAGGATGAGTACTCAAAATGCAAACAAAGACACCCCCCAAAGCCCTTCTAGCGCACTTTGTTTTGAAGTCAATATTTATCTCTGAATGAACAGTTTGGTGAACCTGCTTAAGGAAGGCGCGTGAGCCCTCCTGGAGTCATGCTTTTCCCTTGCATATCTCAAACTTGTTTCACATGAATTCCGGATACAGTGTAAATGTTTCTGTGACTTAACGGAAGATTTCTGCCATAATCATAAGTCGCAACCCACTCGGAAACAGGGTGGCGCATTTCTCCGATCGGCATCTCAGTGCGGGAAGCACGCAAACTTAGAAGGAGCGTGTGCATGTCTCCCCGTGCTAATACGCACGTCAAACCAATATACCACTTGCTTTCTAAATGCTTGGAGATTGCACCTGGCAGCTCATAGTTTTAACTATAGTCAGTCGTTATCGAAATCAGGTATGCTGCATGCACAGCCAAATAGATGTTTGGGTATATGTGTTCCTTTGTCGTAGTCGACCCATTCTCAGATATTCATTATGGAGTGAGTGCAGGCAGTTTGAATTCGGGAAAGTTGTCTTGCATTCATAATAAATTTTCTCCCTGATTAAGCACTTTTTATGCACCGCCGTGTGCCTGTCAGTGAATCAAACCGTGCAGAACACTTTTTTTTTATGTGCTCTAAGTATACATCTGCTTTAGTGTGTTGTAAATTCCGGATCATATTTTAATATAGCTTGTTTATGTCAACTGAGATTGTGTGCATTGCATAGACGTCGGTACAGGAGATGTACAAGGTGTCCCAAAAACAATTACAATGTTCTTTCACCACACAAATAAACTACGTATCGCACGCTTATTAGCAACCCAAATGTAGCGCTAGCGGTCCCAAGGTTTCAGAATGAAGCGTCATCTAATCACAGAGTTATACGTGATTTTCTGTCATTTTCAATGGGAAAATGGTGATCGACGAAGCTCTCGAATACATGACGCTGAATGGTACCAGTTGCTACGAATGGACAAATTTTCCCATTGAGATTTTAAGAAATAACGTTTAACTTTTAATTGACATAACGGTTAGTTCTGAAATTTGTTCGAACCGCTAGCTCTACATTTGGGCGGAGAATGAGCGTTCTGCGATGCATAGTGCATTTTTGTGTTGAAAAAAGAAAAACACTACAACCTATCTTAGAGGGGACACGCTTGGGTAACTTAATCTAGGGTGTCTAATGTCATTGAATGCGGAGGAGAAGTTTTCCTAGCGCCCCCATATGTTTCGAAACTCATAGTATTAGTCATTCACATATTTGAACTTTTTTTTTTCTGCTCAGTTGACTGCAAGTTGGTTTTGCTTGCTATAACGAATACTTTTATTGCACATTTATTTTATTTTTATTTTCTGTTCTATTTCCTATTTCTACCGATCTTCAAGTGCTTTCTAAAGAGAACCAAGGAGATCATCGATCAATGAATAACAGGTACGAAACATGCATAGACGCCAACGGAACAGCGACGATCTGCATGGCCTGTGGAGCAGGTGAGCAAGCTGGCGTAAAATCTCTCCGCTACAATAGTGACAGATGGGCCAGTTGGAACATGACTCTCTGCTACCAAGATCAGTCACGCTTGCTGCGAATAAATTTACTAACACGAGAGCATAAATTTATTCGATTTGTGTTTGGGTGGCCTATACACCTTTGTCACCTCAAGAATTGTAGTAAAAAAAGTCCGGCTCCACGCGGATCATTACTAAGTTTTCCCTTTATGTTGATAATTAAGACATATGTAAATTTGAGATAAGACTATATGTTTCTAATCTAGGCGTGCACGTTTTAAACACCAAAACCATCGCTTTTTCCTTCGACAACCTAATCTTGTAAGAACTACTTCGCGCCGCGTATGAACAATGCGCAAAACGCTTTTTTCTTGAGGTGAAAACGGGTATTGTTGGTATCACGCATACCAAATCATGACTTTGTATCGTACAAGTTGCAAGCTAAATGTTCAGGTGACCCGCTCGCCTTAGCTTAACTTTGCTAGATAACCCGCCTGATGCGTTAGAATTAGAGGAGAAGTTTAGACAGCAGCCTTTGCCTAGAGTCAGCGGAAAGGGTGAACATGAGAGAGCATCGGCATTTAGAATTGAAAATGCGAATAGTTAACGGATGCTGTCCGTGACCTACATTACGGAAGAGCTGTCATTTTACAGACATCATCCGTCACCTAACGAAATGATCTCTGTAATTAGAATTACGGACAATCTGGAACTTCACGGAATAATGGTTGTCTTTTTACGGACTAACCTTTTTCTAGATTACAGAAAGTGTCTATTTACTTTCCAAATGACGGAGAAAATGTTGGCAATGCTTTACCCGTCAACGTGTTCCGTACAGGGGGGGAGAAGGCCAATCTTTTTAGTGTGTAGTGTCACGGATGACGAGTGAAGAATTAAAAAGTGAAAGCCGCTTACAACTCCCTGTAACGCCGAATTAGAGCGTAGCTCTTGAGGAGGAGGAGGTGAATGTGCGGAGAGAGGGCTATGCCACTCCTCTCCTGGTCGGCTCCCATTTAGGGGAAAATTTTCTGCTACATTTAACGGGGAATCTTTTCTGCTAAATTTAGGGGGGAAGTTTTTCCGCTAGATTTAGCGGTGACAATGTTCCGCTAGATTTAGCGGGGAAATTTTTCCGCTAAATTTAGCTGGGAAATATTTCCGCTAGATTTAGCGGGGGAAAACTTCCCGCTAGATTTAGCGGGGGAAATTTTCTGCTACATTTAGCGGGGAAATTTATCCATCCATCGACGCCGACGCCGCTCAAGCCGGAAACGGACGCCTAAGAACTGCGCTCTAAAAATAACTGAGGAAACTAAACGTTTAATACAGCGAACTTGTGCTAAAATACAAATGCAGTAGTGGGCCTCGCGGGCCTCAATGTCTGTGTTACTGTCTGTGTTACTGTAAGCTTCTATTCCACAATACCCAAAAAGAATGCACGGAAACGTTCCAGGGGTAACAAAAGGTAAAAACGCAAGACGTACGCGGGACTCGAACCCGGTTCAACGGCGTGGAAGCCGCGTGCGTTGGCCGATTCGGCCACGCACTTTTTTCTTTTTTATTGCACTCGGCCACGCGCGCAGCAATATCAACTACGGTGCTCAATAAAACGATGCATCCAAGGTGCGCATTAGAAAACCACCGCGAGATGTGACTGAGCGAGATGAATACAAACAGTGACATTTTCCGTAAACATATTATCGTGTGATATACACCTCTGTGATAATGCGCCTTGTGCTCAGACAGCCTATATTAGCGTGGCGACTTTTTTTTTGTTTTTGTTTGGAAATCAAGAATCCTTGTGTCATTGAAGTTGTTACAAATTACTCAATGGGTAATTATTTTCGATAGTAATAGAATTGCATCTCGAGGTGTTGTACTCTATAGTCATAGTGTTTTGCAGGGAACTGAACTTCAGTACTATTCTAAATACCTTATGAATGTATCGGGTAAATAATATTAAATTATTTTCTCGAGCATCATGTTCAACACTGATCTGCAGTTATCAAGTTACAAAGTTTCGTCTCTGAGCTACTTCGCCTGGTACGTATTTCAGTTCTGAATTAAGCCTTACTCTTCATCTATTTTATATTTAAAAAAATACACAAAAATTAGGCCTTAGCAGAAATCAGCATTGCCTCAGTTACACGTAATTGAAATACTCAATTTCATTATTTCTGTTTTTTTGTTATATCGAGCTATGTGTGAAAACTTTCTTTTTGGGAAAGTATATCAAAATAAATTTCGAAGGTATAAACCCAACTTAGTTCGATCTAATATCACTTTTCCCGGATAAGCCATTTTTCCGAAACAATGACTCAAGCGGCATAATCTATATGCTGGTGTGAGCAAAAAAAAAAAAAAAAGAACAGATAGGACGACTATCATAAAGCGTTGACAACGAGCTCTACCGAAAAATAGAATAGTCTGAAGAAACGCAGGCATTTGAAGGACGTATACAAGGCTCAACTACATGTATGGTGATTCAAGGAGAGGCCAGGCTCTTTAAATCGACCGCAAAATTCGGTTTCTTAAAGGGGCACTGACACCCCAAAGGTCATATTTTTTTTTTATTGTCTAAAACGATGCAAGTTGCAGTCATAGACACGCAAAAAAAAAAAAAAAAACGCATCGCGAAAAAAATTTTCCCGCGCGCGCGCGCGCGCCCTTTTATTTTTGGCGTTCGATTCTCCCGCCTCTCGCCTCCTCGCTTTTTTTTATTCGTGACGTCAAGAATCAGGAAATTTAGAAGCTTTGTAGACGACATTTTATAACATTTAATAACGGCAATCGTAGAACATGTTTTGTAACGCAATTGCGAACGCACTATGGCCCTTCTTTTTGAAATACCAAAAATCGGAGTTCGTTGTGGTGCCGTCTCCTGGATTTGTATCCTCCCACAAAAAACAGGCGACACCGCTCAAAACCGGTCCGCAGCGCTTGCTCCTTTCCTCCTCGGTTTGGGTCGCCATGGCAGCAGCAGGGAGTCGTGAAAGAAAGTGGACTCTCAGGACTCCGCAATATTTGACGTCCACGCACCGGCGCGGATCGCGCGGGAACTTCGAATTCGGCATTTGGAAATTGTTTTTTTACTTCACAAATACTGAATTCTCCAATTTCGAACTTTGAGGCTAATGTCCTGGCATCGCTTTCAATTGTTTCGGATAATAAAAAAACATATAATTTTGATGTGTCAGTGCCCCTTTAAAGGAGCTGTGCAACGATGTTCAATTGGAATGTTTTTCTCTCTACACGAGCTTACTGGCACACCTGGGACTCAAGGATACTCACACGCAACGTCATTGGCCAAGAAACTCCTTTGTTGCGGTGTAATTACAAGGACAAAAGCGATCATTTTCATTCAATCTCTCCTTTGCAAAATTTGATGACGTAACTCGGGGATCGCAGTACACCCAAGTGACGATACTTGAATGCGGTTCATAGATTGGACCCGAGCATTGCGTGGGCACTCGACTTGGGCTCGTGACAATTGCCAGCTCGAGAAGCATTCGGGTTGTGACCCGTGTCCAATCGCTGCAAGACGACAACAGCTGAGCCATAACAATGTCTGGAACTCAGCGCGTGTCCTGCGCTTTGCCAACCCCAGCGCGTGGCTATGATCAACACTGGCGGCATATAATCGGCTCCAGATCACGTGGCTGCTTGTTCTGGCTGCGAGTTGAGGGGGTGAACGCTGCTCGTTTTTCTTAAATTTTTTTCTGGGACTTCTATTGCGTGGGGTGAAAAACGAACGCGTGTTTCATAGGTCATTAACGTTAGGGATCCGTTTTAAGCGGTATTTGTGCACAGTACAAATATTGTTGCACAGCTCCTTTAATCTATCGCGCTACGACTTTGTGCAGCCTTGCCCACAGATGGTGCACTTTTTTTCTTTTTTTTGTAAAATTTGCGAAGAGCAAATTCACCTGAGGAAAAAGTAAAGAAATAAAAAGGCTTAGCTCTTATGGAAACGCAGCGACGCACCGGTCTTCAAACAACACGGCGCCGTTTCGCATGGGAGACAAGAGATGGCGCAAGGAACGCCGCCAATGAACGAGCATTCGGCGCCGAGAGCCGGTGTCTTAGCAGAAAAACGTTTCGACCCAAAAGCGGCGCGCGTTCCGCAGGCGGCGACAGTCGCAGAAGCAAAAACAGGCGCGGTAACAACAAGGAACTGCAGTTGCTTGTCTGCTAAAGATGCCGGCTGTCGGCGTCGTATGCTCGTTCGTTGGCGGCAGTTTGCGTCGCGACCGCTTGCGCCATCTCTTGTCTCCCATGCAAAACGGCGCCGTGTTGTTTGAAGACCGGAGGCGTCGCTGCGTTTCCATAGGAGCTAAGCCTTTTTCTTTCTTCACTTTTTCCTCAGGTAAGTTCGCCCTTTGCAAATTTTACAAAAAAAAAAAAAAAATGCGCCATCTGTGGGCAACGCTGCACAAAGTCGTAGCCCGATAGGTTCAGAAACCGAATTTTGCAGTAGATTTAAACAGCCTGGCCACTATTTTGGACGCCCGGTAAAACAATGGTTCGAGAAAATTTACAGGGGAAACAAGCACTATGTGGTAGGACTCTCACCTGTAATCTCGGGTGCAGGTCTTGATTCTGTATATTGCAGAGGTGAAGGAGTCGTCGTTGTTGGGACTTTTACATTACCCGAATCGTCGAAATGTAGCGTTTCATTCACTTTTGATAGATGAAAAAAAAATTAATTAATTTTTTACACAGAATAATATGTGTTTGAGTTTACTCCGGACAAAGTTATTCAATATAAACCGTGAAACGTACACTAATGCAGTTTCTTCGGTCGAGTTATCGGCCAGCCCGGGGGGGAGAGGGGGGGGGGGGGGGGTAAAATTGTTAAGGATGAAAACGAAACGACGACAGATAATCAAATGAAATAAACGCTTATGGGGTGAACATGCGCCCGAAATAAATGAACAACCAAATGGTTGGGTGAAAATAACTACAGAGCGTCCCGGGTGTCGGAGTCGGGGGAAACGCTGAGTCGAGCGTTGGCGGAAGAGAGCGTCGTCGTCGGGAGAGTCTCAGTGACTGCAAGATCATTCTGGCTTCCTTTTACACTCAGGGTAAGAGTAAACCCGAATCTTCTAGAAGAACGGAGAAGCGTTCCCTCTCGGTCATGCACGCGGCAATATGGTGGGCTAATTGTGGCGACAACAAAGATAATTAACTAATTTTTGGTATATCACTTTTTAATTAGTGAAATTAAAATATAGTTTCAATTACAAACTTGCTGAGCGTCATCTATTACCACTAAAACAGTAAATTTTAGAAAAAAGTGCAGCACGTGAGAAGCACGGGGATGTTTGCAGTTACCACTCGTGCTGCCGGCGCATGCCAGCAGCACGAGTGGCGGGGGTGTGGAAACGCCGATGATAATCCTATCATTAAGTTTTCGCACGACAGCAAAAAAAAAGTTTTATTCGGGTGAAAAACCCGCCCGAGATAAGTCCTTCCCATAACCGTGGAGACGTCGGGACAATTTAAGAAGGAGCTCGGATCAAGCCTGGACAACGTTTTGCCCTATTTCACCATTTTGATTAAATGCCTTCGACAATTTAAGTGAAGAACACATAAAAATGTGAAGAGACCTCTACAGTTTCAGTTTATTTTAGATTTTGTTTCTGTGGGGCTCATTTCTTGTTTCGGACAAGAAGCAAGAATTATCGCTGTGCAAATGCTCGAAAATCCCACGAGCAATTAAATATATATATATATATATATCAGGGTGTCGAACCGAACCCGAACCCGAACCGAAAACCGGATCAAAATCGTTATTTTTGACCGAACCGGAACAAAACCGAAACCGAAATCGAACGCTTCATATTGAACCCGAACCGGAACGAAACCATAATTTGATGTGGCGGTTACCGGTTCAACGAAAACGGTTCAAGGCCAATTGTGTCAATAATTGGTCTAAATGGGAAAAGTTGCAGGCGTATATTTTTCTTATGTTGCCAAGACTAATCCTACATACTGTGAGATACTTTTACATGTCGTTTTTGTTGCACACGTAATAAAAAAAAATACATCGTCGTCGGGAAAGCTCCAACTTTCCTTTGTTTCCTTCGATCGATCCTGGCGGCGCGGTTAGCAGCGGCGGCGATTTCAAAGCACCGCTTGGCCGCTTGGCTACGAAATGTCCAAGTGTCGGAACGGATTGCGTCCGCAAATGTTTGACCTCAGGATGGACCGTACTTGCAGTCGACGAGCCATTTAGCCAATCGAGCACCAAGAGCGCATCACGTGATCTTCCGCTTGAGTGCAGCGACACCCTGGAGGAAGGGGGACACGTACCGAGCTCGCCCCCCCCCCCCCCCCGAAATCTTCCATTTTGCTGGGACCTCCTCTCCCCCCTTCCTTTCATACAGCATTTTGTCATGGGTGGGCCCCCCCCCCCCCCCCCCCCCCTTCCCCGAAACAAAATCCTGACTACGTGCCTGGCCTTACCACATTAGTGGTGTCTTTTGCGCACGTCACCGAGCACAGTTTTCATATATGCTTGAAGAGCGAGCATCAACGTTGTATTGAGATGGGGGTCTATTGCAAGTATCTCGTGCTCAGAAAAGGCTGCAGGAAGTGCTCGCTCAATATTCAAAGGTCGAGTTGGGAACTGGTTCGAACCGGTTCGTGCTTAATAAAACCGCTAACCGGAGTGATATTATGTGCGCTACCCTAAACCGGAACCAAACCGGAACAAAATACAATGCTACTGAACCCGACCCCGAACCGAACCGAAATAATAACCGGTTCGACTCCCTGATATATATATATATATATATATATATATAGATACGGACTAATGATATGCTGATGGTCAGTACTAAAGCGAGAAAGATAACTAACAAAACTGACAGACCAACGGTGAAAAATATGTTTTGTAGTTCATTAGTTACATGGTATACACTGCTTGATTACTTGAAACTAAATAAACAGCTTAATCAGTTTAGCTTAGCATGGCTGCCCAGTTCAGTGCTCCGTATTCATGCTTGCCAGAGTTTGATCGCAGTACGGGCCACGTGCACTGTCGCTCTTGTCTGAGCCATGAGGACATTGACGTGATGTGAAGTAGATTGTTGGTTGTTTAATTTTTTGCTTTGATGCATTCTTCCTATGAAAACCGAAGTTGTCGGCTGCAAGTAAAAAAAAAATTGAAATGAGTCCGGTTTAATTTTTAATGCGAAAGCTATAATTGTCCCATGGAGGGCAGTCGGCGTTAGCTGCGACCGCGGAAAACTGCTCCTAAATAAACAGCGGTTAAAATGGCTGCGACGCTTCATTGTTCCCTTGGCTGCGACGCGTCAGATCAGATGCTTCGTGACGGAAGTCGGCGGGACTGCTCAAGGTGAAAGCGGACGCGCCTCGGAAATAAAACACAAAGAAAAGCACAGCAACGCAGATGCACCGTCACGGAAAGCGTGAAGCCTGCGGGGTTCGCCGCGCCTGCCCAGGGAAGGGGGGAGGGGGGGGGGGGGGGGGGGGGGCGAGATATACCCGCCGGAGCGCCATGTGAAAAAAGAAGACGTGGCGCGCTGCTTGTGTGAATGCTTTTGGATTCCTTCACGTAAGCAATCTTGGGTGTCATTCTGTAATTTTTTTTTTCTTTTTACGCCCCAAGTTTTTTCGCACACATTCCAGCAGCACGAGTGTAGGTATCCTCCTGATTCGAACAAAAATAAACAATTAAAATAATATACTTTTTCACCGAAAATGGCAAAGGGCTTGTCAATGAGACATGGTGACTGTTTCGGCTATCTGTTTTATATTTTTACTTCTTGAAACGGATGTGGGAACAAAACTTAATATATTACTTTTCTAAAAAAAATTCTATATTCTCCGGGAGGCTGATGATGTTGGAAAAAAAGTAACAAAGACGGTGACAAATTAATTATAATATTTTCAATCGCAAAGTTCGTACTCCATATTTTTGGTATCGTAATTTATTTTCTCGCCTTCCACATAAATATTCAGTGGACAATTTTTATTATATAATATTTCAAGAATTTGAGGGAGAAAAAAAAAAGCTACACATTTTATCGAATTGATTACATAGGTAAGGGCGTTGGTAAGGCTCCTTTATATTTGCATGAAAAGGTTATGACGTTTATATTTGGGCATTTTGCGGCAGGAGTCTGCAAGCCTCTGAAACAACGTTATTCACCACTGAGAGGGAAGAACAAAATTACAACACAACACGTAGAAATGTCGGGTACCCGCGCCACGGCCGTTCGAATCTGGTTCCCTGCCACGTCCACGCACTCACACACTTTAAACTAATAAGCAGAATCTTTTTGTATATTTGCCCTCTCTTTATGGTTTATATATCGCAACTTTACGCTACTGTATAAGCTTCCAACAAAACGTTTCAGGCCTCATCGCCGTCTCACACTTTTTTAACAGTATTTTAGATTCAAAGTGAAATGAAAGTGTTTCTTTTTTCTACTTACAAGTCCAGTACACGACGGGTCTTATATATCGTTGTATAGGATCACTGATATTCATCTCAAACACTCTGCAGTACATGTCCCGCACGAGTTCGATCTTTCTGCTCTTAACTTTCACTGCTCGTAACGTGAGGATGTCACGTAAGAATGTGTACTTTCTTTTATGCGGTCCACGAAGTACCGTAACTGGGTACTTCTTAACTTGCCAGTCTCTCTGTTTCGCATGTTTGCATGCCGTGTAACCACCTGCAAAGGAAGTTTCTTTTACTAAAAAAAAAAAAAATAATCGCACTTTGCCGCACATCAGCGTTCTTCGTGAACAGCCCGTGGGACCTAATAGCCGTTATTGGCTGTGATGCATATTAGTGCACCATTAAAAAAGTTTGAAACGCCAAAAAGGTTGTTAATTATCCGATATACGTGACCTTGAAAATTTTTAAATGCTGAATGCGCATATAATTTAACTTCGACATTTTGCTATTGGCTTTTTTCTCAAAAACCAAAGTGGTCCGATCGGATTTGAATGTTCCACAAATGCTAGAAACGGCAACAAAAAGCAAAGAGCTTAGCAATCAATTCGTAGGTCTTGAACAAAACGTTAGGTCAATTCATGAGGGCCTTTTAGATGTCAACAAAAACTGGCACAGTTAGAAGATCGAAGCCGCCGTAATATTTTTATAGTTCTTAGTACTCTGGAAAACAGCTGCGATACGGCAGGTATATGTAGCGCAAGGGTACAAGGTGCGAAATTTTAACTTGATACGACGCCGTTGAGACTGGAGCAGTAAAAACTTTATGCTGACAACCTAGGTGTGTTAGGCTGTTAAATGAGAAGTTCGCATATATTTCCACTTTCCCTATCGTCACAATGTAGAAGTAGTTTTATGGCCAAGAATTTTGGAGGAATACCAACGCAACATTTTACGGTCTTTGGCTATCACTCGGCTGTCTCAGCTTATATTGCCGAGGATTCTACAGCAAGGGAATTTTTAGGAGAAAAAAACTCGGAACACGCGCAAATTCTAAACGCTTGCGTCACGGAGGAATGGCAATAGACCCATAATTGATAAGTTATGTATAGTTGCAACAAACTAAAACCAACAAAAACGTAAACTTCTCAACGGTAACAAGATAAAAATTTAACAGGGTGATTCCATGCGTAAGATTTCCAGAGCAAAAAAAGCTGTCGAAAAATAGCTAGTACAATCCTGATAGCAAGGCCACTGCTTCAATATAATTTAAATCCCCCGGGTTACACAAGATGTGGCGCCCATGTGGCGCCCACGTGGGCAGTGGGGGCTCGGGCAGCCCCTACGAAACATACGTTGGTCCCACGTGGGCGCAGCGTGGTCATGCCGAATATGGGCTGCCCAGGAGTGCCGCGGTGGGTCCCACATCAGATATGCGAGGGAAAGGTTGGGCACAGCGTGAGCATACCCACGCTGTGCCCAACTTTGCTTGGGTTTGCCCATGCAACCCAACCTCGACCCTCGTGCGTCCCATTTCGGCCACGCGAGGACACGCCTAATTTGGCCTGCCCGTGCAGTACCGCCGATGGGTCCAACTCTGGCTGTGCGAGGGCAGATTTAGCGCAGATGTGGGGTTCAAGGGCGCAAGGTATGGGCATGCCCAATTTGGGCTGCCCATGTAAAACACCCGCGGGTCTATCCTTGGCTTTGCGGTGTCACCTGAGCAAAGGTGGGGCTCCACGGCGGCAAAGCGTGGGCATGCCCGACTTGGGCTGCCCATGTAAACCCCCCTGGGACCCACCTCGGCTCTACGAAGACCAAATGCAGTGATGTAGGCTCCACGGCGGCTATGCGTGGACGTACCCGAGTTGGGCTGCCCATGTAATGTTCCTCTAGGTCCCACGACGGTTCTGTGTGTCCTATGTTTACGAAAAGGGGGGCTCCAAGGCGGAAAAGCGTGGGCATGCTCAACTTGGGCTGACTAAGTAACGAAACCGTTGGTCCCCCTCGGCTGTGCGGGGGCCAAGTTAGCAAATAGTACGGGCTCTACGGTGGCAAAGTGTGGGAATGCCCGACTTCGGCTGCCTAACTAAAACCCCCGTGGGTCCCACCTCGGCTGTACGTATGCCATGTTAGCAGTGGTGCGCGCTCTACAGTGGCAAAGCGTGGGCATGCCCGATTCGGGCTTCCCATGTGAGACCCCCGTGGGTTCCACCTCAGCAGTGCGGATGCTAAGTTTACGAAGATAAGGGTTCCACGGCGGCAAAGCGTAGGCATGCTCAACTTGGGCTGCCCGTGTACAACCCCCGTGGGTCCATCCTCGGCATCGTTGGGGCCAAGTGAGCAAACCTATAGGCTCCACAGTGGCCAAGTATGACCCTGTGGGTCCCACCTGGGCTGTGCGTGGGCCATGTTAGCAGTAGTGCAGGCTCCAGAGTGGCACAGCGTGGAGATGCCCGATTTGAGCTGCCGATCTAAAACCCCCATGGGTATCGCCTCGACTCCGCTGGGGCCAAGTTAGCAAGGATGTGGGCTCCAAGGGGGCAAAGCGTGTGCGTGTCCAACTTGGACTACCTGTGGAACTCCCAAAACGGCACTTTCTGCTAATATTGAGGAAGTTTATTGCACGTTCTGGAAAGTCAAGACACGAGATCGGCTTAATTTGATAATGAATCATCGAGGTTTGTAATTCTAAGCGTGAGCGAGAAATTGTAAGCTTGCTAAACTTTATTACTAACCTATCACACAGTGTGTATCATGAGAAGGCTGTTTCACGTGGGGTAGAATTTTTGACGCACAGTATTGAATTTGAGGGCAAATTCGAAAAATTTGTCAGGATGTCAAAAATGTTCTAAAATTCGGTGTTCGAAGACGGCTCAAGCAGGCTATGTATCCCGATTACGTATCCAACAGGATTTTATATGAAAATGTGCAGCATTTTTTTTCCCCATTTCCTACACTTGAAATGCCTATTTTTTTATGAGCCTGCTTAAGATTGCTTTAAGGGATGCTGAACCAGACATTTCAGTGTCTATATTAAGCGGCGCACTACCTTTTTTGATGAGTCAGCAGCACCTGGTGTGCGCGAGCACACGCAACGATATTGACGCCATCATATCCCCCATTCGAGCTTATTAAGCGTGAATGGGGGATATGATGACGTCAATTTCGTTGCGTGTGCTCGCGCACACCAGGGGCTGCCGACTCATCAAAAAAGGTAGTGCGCCGCTTATTATGGGCACTGAACTGGTTGGATTCAGCATCCCTTTAAGATTAGGATTGAGACGTTTTGTAGCTTGTCCCCTTTTTCGTCGTCCGTCGTCTCCGGTTGTTTAAAAATTATGTAACATCAACCAGCTCGCCTGCCTACTCACTCTATATTCAATTGCTTAAGACGTTTTATTGATCGATCAAAGTGGTAATATTTCCAGGAGGCACATGGGGGAAAGTCAGGCACGCTCAATTTGGTATGAACCGCTATACCCCCGCCGCTGGAAAATTATTAAATGACCCCGAACCGAACAAAATGAGGGTCCTGGGGCGACCTTATGAAGGCTACCCACGTAGGCCCTCTGTGAGCCCCACGAGGAGGGCCTTTGTGGGCTGCCCACCCAGGCCCCTGTAGGCCCCATGAGGAGGGCCCTTGTGGGCTCCTTAAGTGGACCCACTGTGGGACTCACGAGGGAAGCCGATATGGGCCTGCCAAAGTAGGGCCCTTGTGAGTCCCCACGGGCAGCCCAAGTGGGCTACCTGAGCGGGCCCCACTTGGGCCCGACTTACAAAACCAACGTGAGACCCACGTGGGCTGCCCAAGTGGGACCCACATCGCCCTCCTTTTATAGGCCACTTTGTGCTAGGTTTCTCGACAGAAGCCAAGTTGGGCTCCCCAAGTCGGCCCGCTATGGATCCCACGAGGGAAGCCCGGTGAGCAGCCCACGTGCAGCCGACTTGCGCCCGAGTTCAAAACCGACCCCTGTCGTCCCCCCTTTTGGACTCCACTTGGCGCTACTTGGGACATTGTTTTGGCTACATGGGCGGGATCTTTTGCTGATTTGCGTTTTGGCGACATCCCAATCAAAAACGTTGCCAAAACGCAAATCAGCCAAAGATCCAACCCATGTAGGCAAAAATGCCCCAAATAGCAGCAAGATCACTTTCAAACTAGCTCTGAATCCCCTCCCTCCCGTCGCGCTCGGTGGGAACAGAATACTGTAAAACCCTTTATTTTCGCGGAGCCTTTTTTCGCGAATCGGTCACAGGGGACATCATTGAGGCCATTAAATCTCGCAAATTCTAGAAGCCTGCATGAAACTCTTATAAACCGAACTTTTCGCGTGCCCTTAAAGTTTGTAAATTTTTGAATTCGCGAAATTCGCGAAAATGAAGAGTTCGCGAAGATTCAGCGTTTTACAGTATCGGGACGTATTATAAAAATATATCAATGTTACCCCGCCTTCTGCAAGCCTTGCCCAAGCAGACAGAAACGTTGCACGCGTTTCCTCACAAGCGGCACGCCTAAGGCAGTTGAAACCACCGGGTATGACGTCACACCCAGCGGTTTTTTCCTCGGTTTTTTTCGCGTGTATTGTTACGTTCAGGTAAAATGCTTGCGATATTCAAATTCACAGTCTAAAATTATGCTAGCATTCACCGATAACTCGTTTATGCTTTTTTTTAAACCTCCTCAGCTTTTTTTAATTATTGCTTACTAAACAGGCACCTTGACACGTACAAATGTCAAATCTTTTTTTTTTTTTTTTGCTTTTTTTTTGCGATGCGTATTTTTGCAGTAGCAATTTATCCTTACTTTTGTGGTATTTTAGGTATTTTTAAAACAATAGTGCTGGCAGACTAACTAACGCTTTGATGGTTGGTAAATGTACGTCATTCAGTGTTAGTAAACTATAACTAATAAAGACAGGCGTTGAAGGGAGAGAAATGACCCGATAGAACATTCTAAGCTTGTTCGATATCGTTCTGGTGGTATTATCAGTACAGCCCAGTTTACGTTTCAAATTACAGAAATACGTCATTATAGAGGCGAACATTGGCTTTTAAGAACGTTTCTTTTCTGTGCGTTGAGAACACTCGGAGACACAGATTTTCCAGGAAGCTCGCCATTACCCTCAAACCTCACACAAGACTAGCGCCTATTTTTAATTCTAGAATAGAAAATTTCCGGTCTGCATAAAAAGCTAAGCGTTGTCAGCATTTTTTATATTATTATTCCACATCGAGTTTAAGAGAAACATTGCATCTTATGAACTTTTAAACTGC